TAAGAATAGCTATAACAATCTTGTTTTATACAAGAATAAAATCAAAAGGAGAAAAAAATTTGTACTAAAACTCTATAGGACTCAAATATGTCTCTGATGGCATACTTAGGCTACCACCATTTGGAGACAATTCTAGAGTCTAAAAAATGTTGAATGATTGGAAAAAATTAAAAAGGAAACTGGAGGTTTAAACAGAAGGTTTTACTTCTTCTCTTTCTGGCTAGGTAATGCCAAAGCCAGAGTAGTGAATTGTGTGTGGCATATACATAATAAATATACACTCAGAAAGCAATGAAGGAAGGAAAAGTGAAAAATAAAAATAAAAAGGCCAAGCAAGCAGAATGAGAAGCATCAACGAATCTGATTCTGTTTCACTCTTCCTACATATGAACTTTAACTCCGAAATTTTACACAATGTAACTAAATGGGTCTAGTAATAGATAATATATATAAACATACATTTAAATAGTTTAAATGTATATAAGATACACAATTTCAAAACTAATGTTGGAATGGCATTTAGTGTTTGCCCTTCTGACACACCAGCAAAAACTAAGACTAGAAGGCATTAGTTTTGAACTATTAAATTGATCAAAATTCAAAGCAACCAATGATCCAGCAATTTTTTTCATAGTATACATAGACACTGAAAATCACCTTGCTTACATTGCTCAATTGTATTCCATAATCAGCTTCAGATGCTATTTTTGTCTAAAATTTCTTCATCTGTCAGATAATAATGTCAGAAGCACATTCACAGACAACCTCCCTAGATGGTCACTGTAATAACTGAGTCAGTTTCTTCATTCTCAATTTTAATTGCTTAGAACTATATTTCTTCAGAACAAAAGTAATTCATTTGATACTATTTTATGTATGAAATGGAAAAGGCCAAAAAGAGTCATCTATAATTCTTCATTAGTTAGTGACTACTTCTCTAAGCTTCTCTTAAAATGTCAAAGCTATATGGAAGTAAAGGTCTTTTTGCTTTCTCCCATGCCATTTGAATAATGCTAAAAACAATGACATAATTTGATAAAGCCAGTTATAAAAGTACCCACTTAAAGGCAACCCAGTACAATTAAAGAAGATTGTCAACATAAGAAAAAAACTCTTCAATGTGACACAATTATGTCAACTTGAAAACTGGGTGTTTCAAAACAAACAAAAATAATGGTAGGAAGCATTCAGTATTTAAAAAGTTATTAATACATGTAAATATGTCTAATGTATTATCGTTTTACTTATTCCACTAAGATTTAGTGTCTCTTATAAAAGTGAATGCAAAAAAATTCTAAAATAAAGAAAACTATGGGCATATAGGCTTCAGTCACATAATCAAACTCGGAAATTTTGGCTTAGATTAGGACAGTTTGCTGTCACTATAAATACAAACTACTAAAAACACAGGATTAATAAAATTTTTGTAATGATTGAAGTAACATGGAAAAGACATGTTCTTTATCATTAGGAATGATATTAAATAATTTATCTGGTATTATAATTAGTCTTTGTTTCATTTTCTTTATATCCACAAATACAATATTTAATAGGAGAGAGTTCTTCATGTTCCAAGAAAGAGAATATAAAAAGAGTGAACAACAGTAATCATTACAAAAAGAAGTTCAAAAACCTTTCCCTCTGATTATATAAGCAAGAAATAATATAAAATAGTTGTAAAAAGATCAATTTTTTTCCCCAAAGGGAAATATGTACTATGAAGTTGAACAGAGTATAAAAGCCACAAAATAATATTATACCCCAGTCTGAAATGTTAACTGAATGTCTCAACACATTAATGAAAGCAGCAGATTTTTCAATTAAACTGTAAAGTATTTCTAATAATGTAGCAACTGCTTAGAAATACTGGAATAAACGTGAGAAATCTAAAAAAAGGAAACCAAAATGTTTATAAACACCAGTATCTATAATAATTACATACTTCATGCATTTTATATCTTCAGTATTCTCTTTAGTACTCTACTAAATACTATTTTTCTCTGAATTTTCAATAGAATGTTAGAATATATTGTTGACACAGAAAACCTAACATTTTAACATTTTACAATGTATTGATTTTGAAGAGCTAAAATAAGGAAAAAATTGACAGCCTTTCCTGTAAGATCTGGAACAAGATAAGGCTGCCGACTTTCATCATTTTTATTCAACACAGAACTGAACAGGTTAGCTAGAGCAAACAGGTAAGAGAAATAAATAGAGAGTATCCAAATTGGAAAGGAGGAAGTCAAATTTTCCTAGTTTGTAGATGACATGGTCTTATATTAAGAAAAAACCTAAAGACTCTACCAAAAACCTCTTAGATTTGACAAACAAATTCAATAAAGTTGAAGAATACCAAATCAACATGCAAAAATCAACAGCATGTCTACAGACAAATAGTGAACAATCCGAAAAAGAACTCAGCAAGCAATCCTATTTCTGATAGTTACAAAAAACAAAATACCTAGAAATCAATATAACTAATGAGGTGAAAAATCTCTACTATAAAACTATAAAATATTGATAAAAGAAATGGAAGAAAAGACAAAAAAATAAAAAGATATCCTCTGTTCATGTATTGAAATAATTAATATTGTTAAAATGTCCATACTGCCCAAAACAATATGCAGATTCAGTGTAACCCCTAGCAAAATACCAATGACATTTTTTACATAGATAGAAAACTAAATGCTAAAATTTACATAGAACCACAAAAGACCCCCAATAGCCAAAGCAGTCCTGAGAAAAAGAACATTACACTACCTAGAAACATCATACTACCTGGCTTCTAAATATATTACAAGGATATAGTAACTAAAACTGCATGGTACTGGCATAAAAAAAAAACCCCACACATAGACCACTGGACAAAATGGAGAACCCAAAAATAAATTCACACATTTATAGCCAACAGATTTTGAACAAGCATCAAAAACACATATTGAGAAAAGGATAATCAGTAAACAGTGGTGGGAAAATTGAATATCTATTGCAGACAAATGAAGCTAGATCCCTATCTTTCACCATATGGAAAAATCAAATCAAAACAAAGGCCTAGCATAAAATCTAATACATATAAAAGAAAACATAGGGAAAATGTTTCAGGACATTGATTTTGATAAAGATTTGATGGCTAAGATCTTAAAAGCATAGGTAACAAAAGCAAAAATAAACATATGGAATTATATCAAACTAAAAGCATTTTGCACAGCAAAGAAAACAAAAGAAGGACAAGATAATCTACAGAATGAGAGAAGATATTTTCAAATTATCTATTTGACAAGGGATTAAAATACAGAATACATAAGAAACTCAAACACATCAACAGAAGAAAAAAATTTAAAAATGGACCAATGATATGTATAGACATTTCTCAAAAGAAGACATACAAATGGCCAACAGGTATGTGAAAAAAAAGTTCCATATCATTAATCACCAAGGAAATGCAAATCAAAACCACAATAAGATATAATCTCACCCCAGTTAAAATGGCTATAATTGAAAGAACAAAAAAAAAAAGTCCTGTCAAGAATACAGAGAAAGGGGGACTCGTACTCTGTTGGTAGGAATGTAAATTAGTACAGCCATCATGGAGAATTGGAGTTTTCTTTAAAAACTAATAGGCCAGGCATGGTGGCTCACATCTGTAAGCCCAGCACTTTGGGAGGCTGAGGAGGGCAGAATCAGTAGGTCCGGAGTTCAAGACCAGCGGCCAATATGGTAAAACCCCATCTCTACTAAAAATACAAAAATTAGCCTGGTGTGGTGGTGCACACCTGTAATCCCAGTTACTCAGAAAGGCTGAGGCAGAATAACTGCTTGAACCTCAGAGGTGGAGGTTGCAGTGAACTGAGATTGCACCACTCCTCTCCAACCTGGGTGACAGAGCAAGACTCCATCTCAGAAAAAAACAAACAAACAAAAACTCTAATAATAATAATAAACTAATAATGGAACTACCATATAATCTTGCAATCCATTACTGGGTATTTATTTAGAGGAGGAGAAGCAGTATGTCGAAGAGATATCTGCACTCCTATGCTTACTCTGCAGCACTGCTCACAACCTTATCAACCAGTTATAATCAATCCAACTGCCTACCAATGAATGAATGGATGAACAAAATGTGCTATACAACACAATGGAATATTCAGCCACAAAAAAGAATGAAATACTGTCATCTGTGGCAACATGACCGAGACTGGAAGACGTTATGTTAAGTGAAATAAATCTTGTATAGAAAGATAAGTACCACATGTTCTCATATGTGAGAGTTTAAAAAGTAGTATCTTATAGAATTAATGAACAGAATAATGGTTATTGGGGCAGGGAAGAGTAGTACAGAGGGGAGAATAAAAATAAGTTGGTTAATGGTACAAAAATACCGTTATATAGGATGAATAAATTCTAGTGTTCTATAACACAGCAGGCTGACTATAGTTAATAATTCATTGCATATTTCAAAATAGCTATATTAGAAGATTTTAAATATTTCCAAAACAAAGAAATGATAAATGTTGGAGGCATAGTATATGCCCATTCCCTAATTTGATCAATACACAGTGTATACATGTATAGAAAAATATGTATTCTACAGATACAATTATTAAATGCCAATTAAAAATGAAACATAATAAAAATAAATGTTAAAAATCCATAATCAAAAAAGAAATAAAGAAATATAAGCTGTCAACACCAACAACAAAACTTAGTTGTGTAACTGCAACCAACCAAAATAAATTGAGTATATTCGATGCTGAATAGCTGATACTTGAAATAATTTGAGTAAATTTGAAGCTAAAAAAATCTGCCCTATGAAATAATTAAGCTTCCTTATAATCGTCCACTACCTAGTGAATTAATACTGTTATTAGAAATTCAATTATAATTTAGAAAAAATGGTTGAACAGAGTAAAAACTTAACCTTATCCCAATCAACGTTGTAATGGCAAGGAGCAATTAGCATGAACTTTTACCATATCCGTTTGTAAGTAACTCACCTGATTAGCAATCTGCCGAGCAAGGACATCCATTCTTGATCCTGATTCTGATATCATTTTTGCTGCATAGATCACATCAGTTGTATGCTTTAGTGGTCCTTTGCCCCTGAAAAAAAAATGTATATGTTAACTGTAGTGTTCATGAAAAAATACATGTTAGCTGTGTTGGTTCATGAAAAAACATATAAATCTATCCATCCATCCACATATGTAAAATATTTGCATCCCAAAGAACAGCTATTGGTTTTCATATTTTGGTTTTGAAAAGACCATAATTAGACCTTGTATTAAATAAATGTTTTTAAAAATGCAAGCCAATTGTGTTAAGTCAGAAAATACTACAGAGAAGATGAAGACCTTTTAGTCTTCATTCCCAGGTGTTTATGATAGTAAAACAGCCTAGAGTACCCTTCATAGATCTAGATACATCAAGGCAAAGGTATTTTCCTGATTCCAGGAAGAAACATAATATTTTGGACATTGTATCCAACAGTTCATTTTTTATAGACATTTTTTCTACTTTTAATATTTCACATTTTTTTTCTGTTGCTATATTTTATTTTTTAAAAAATTTTATTGATGTAATATTCATTTTTTATGGGGGCACATGTATTATATTGTTATTTATACATGCATAGAATGTGTAATGATTAAGTAATGGTATTTAGGGTATCCATCACATCAAGTATTATTTCTATTTGAAGTCTTCTAGTTATTTTGAAACATTCAATACATTGTTTTAAATTATAGTCACCCTACTCTACTATTGAACATTTGAATTGTTCTTTTGTTCTTTCTATTTAACTGTATGTTTGCTCCCATTAACCAACCTCTCTTATCCCCCACAATCCCCAACAGACACTATGCCAAGCCTCAGGTAACTATCACTCTACTTTCTACCTCCCTGAGAGCAATGTTTTTAGTGCTCACATATGGAGGAGAACGTGATATTTGTCTTACTTATTTTCACTTAGCGTAATGTCCTCCAGACCCATCCATGTTGCTGTAAATGTTAGGATTTCATTATCTTTTAAGGCTGTTTCATTGTTTATGTACAAATAACCACATTTTATTTATCCATTGATGAACACTTAGATTGATCTGATATCTTTGCTATTGTGAATAATACTACAATAAAAATAGGGATGCAGGAGTCCTTTTGAAATGCTGATTTCCTTTTGTTTGGATAAATGCTTAGGAGTGAGACTGCTACATCATACATTAGTACTACTTTTCATTTTTTGAGAAATCTCCATATTGTTTTCTATAATGGCTGTGCTAGTTTACATTCCCATCAACAGTGTATAAGAGTTCCCTTTTCAACATACACTTGCCAGCATATTTTTTTTTGACTTTTTAATAGTCATTCTAACTGAGGTAAAATGATATCTTGCTGTAGTTTTGATTAGCATTTTCATGTTAATTAGTGATGTTGAGCATGTTTTCATATACCTACTGGTCATTTGTCCTCTTTTGATAAATGTCTGTTCGTGTCTTTTGCCTGCTTTTTAGTGGGATTATTTTCCTCTATTGAGTTGCTTTAATTCCATGTATTCTCTGAATATTAGCCCCTTATTAGATGAATAGCTTACAAGTATTTTTAAATATTAAATATTTTCTAGCATTTAACAGGCTGTCTCTTTACTGTTGAGTATTCATTTTGTTGTGCAGAAGCGTTCTAGTTTAAGATAGTCCCATTTGCCTATTTTTACCTTGCCTGTGCTTTTGAAGTCTTAGCCATAACATCTTCATCTAGACCCATGTCCTGAAACATTTCCCCTATGTTTTTTTCAAGTATTTTTATAATTTTGGATCTTATGTTTAGGTCTTTAGCTGATCTTGATTTGATTCTTGTATATGGTAAGAGATAGGAGACTAGTTTCATTCTTCTGATTATGATTATCCTGTATTCCCTTATTGAAGGGCCATCCTTTCCCCAGGGTCTGTTCTTTGCACCTTCGTTGAAAATCAGTTGGTTAGAAATGGGTGGATTTATTTTTGGGTTCTCTATCCTGTTCCATTCATCTCTGTGTCTTTTTTTATGCCCATACAATGCTTTTTTTCGTTACTATAGCCTTTTGATATGTTTTGAAGTCAGGTATATAATGTGTCATGTCCTTTTTCCTGTTCTTTTCCTGAATATTACTTTGGCTATTTGGGGTCTTTTGTGGTTCTATTAATATGTAATGTTTAGGGTTGGTTTTTCTGTTTCTGTAAAGAATGTCATTGTTATTTTGAGAGAATTCCACTGAATATGTAGATTTATTTAGGTAGTATGGATATTTTGACATTATTGATTCTTCTGATCTATAGGCATGAGATATCTTTTTATTTTTTGTGTCTTGTTCAGTTTCTTCCACCAGTGTTCTATAGTTTTGCTTGTAGGAGTATTCTTTGTTTGGTTAAAATTATTCCTAGGTTTTTAATTTTTGTAGCCATTTTATATGGGATTGCTTCTTGATTTCTTTTTCAAATTGTTCAGATTGATGCATAAAAATGCTATTGATTTTTGTATGTCAATTTAGTATTCTGCAACTTTCCTTTATTTACCAAATATAAGAGTGTTTTGGTGGAGTCTTTAAGTTTTTCCAAATAGAATCTCATTGCAAAGAGGGACAATTTGGCTTCCCTTTTTCCAATGTGGATGCCTTTTCTTTCTTTCTTTTTCCTGGTTGCTCTGGCTGATAACCTTTAGTACTAGAATGTTGAGGAGGAGTTATAACAGTGGACATACTCATCTTGTTCCAGATCTTGATAGAAAGGCTTTCAGCTTTGGCCCGGTCAGTATGATGTTAGCTGTGAGTTTGTAATATATGGCCTTTAGTATATTGGGGTATTTTCTTTCTAAATCTAGTTTCTTGAGAGTTTTTATCATGAAAAGATATTGAATTTTATCAGATGCTTTTACTAAGCCTATTGAGATGATCACATTTGTTTACCTTTCATTCTTTTGATGTGATGTTTCACGTTTACTGATTTGTGTATGTTGAATCATCCTTGCATTCCAAGGAGAAATTCCACTTGATTAACTTGTATTATCTTTTTGGTGTGCTGTTTGATTCATTTTGCTAGTATTTTGTTGAAGGTTTTTATGTCTCATTCATCATAGATATTGACCTGTAGTTTTCTTTCTTTCTTGTGTTCTTGTCTGGTTTTGGTATGAGGGTAATGCTGGCTCATAAAATGAAATAGGAAGAATTCCCTCCTCTTCAATTTTATGGAATGGCTTGAGGAAAATCAATGTTAGTTATTGTTTGTACATTTGGTAGAATTCAGCAACAAAAGATCCAATTCTGGGCTTCTCTTTTTTGGGAGACTTTTTGTTACTGATTCAATTTATTATGCATTATTGTTCTGTTCAGATTTCCTATTTTTTCGAGACTTGATCTTGGCAGATTTTGTGATTCCAGGAATTTATCCATTTACCCTGTTTTCCAGTTTGTAAATGTTAACTGTTAATAATAGTGTCTGATGATCTTTTGTATTTCTGTGATGTCAATTGTAATACCTCTTTTTACATTTGTAATTTTGTTTATTTGGGTATTCTCTCTTTTCTTGGTTAGTCTCGCAAGCAGGTTATTAAATTTTTTTATATTTTCACAAACCAACTTGTTGCTTTGTTGATCTTTTGTATTTTTTTTTTAGTCTGTGTATCATTTAGTTCTGCTCTGATCTTTATTATTTCTTTCCTTCTACTAATTCTGGATTTGGTTTGCTCTTCCTTTTCTAATTCCTTGATGTGCATCATTAGATTGTTTATTTGAAATCTTTCTACTTTTTTATTGTAGGAATTTATTGCTATGAATTTCCCTCTTAGCACTACTTTTGCTCTGTTCTATAGGTTTTGGTATCTTGTGTTTTACTTTCATTTTCAGAAACGTGTATGATTTCCTACTTAATTTCTTCATCGACTTGATGGTTGTCTAGGAGCTTGCTGTTTAATTTCTATGTAGTTGTACAGCTTACAAAATTCCTCCTTTTATTGATTTTTGGTTTTATTTGATTGTGGCATAAGAGGACACTTGGTATGATATTAACTTTAAAAAATTTTTTTAAGACTTGTTTTGCGGCCTGACATAGCATCAATCCTGTGCAATGTCCATGTACTTGAGAAAAATGTATATTCTACAGTTGTTCAATAAAATGTTCTGTAGATTGGCCTGTTAGACCAATATGGTCTAAAGTGCAGTTTAAATATAATATTTCTTTATAAATTTTCTGTCTAGATGATCTTTCTAATGCTAAGAGCTGAGTGTTGAAGTCTCCACCTATTACTGCATTGGAGTACATCTCTCCCTTTTGATGTAATAATATTCGCTTTGGCCAGGCACGGTGGCTCAAGCCTGTAATCCCAGCACTTTGAGAGGCCAAGGCGGGTGGATCACGAGGTCAAGATATCGAGACCATCCTGGTCAACATGGTGAAACCCTGTCTCTACTAAAGATACAAAAAATTAGCTGGGCATGGTGGCACGTGCCTGTAATCCCAGCTACTCAGGAGGCTGAGGCAGGAGAATTGCCTGAACCCAGGAGGCGGAGGTTGTGGTGAGCCGAGATTGTGCCATTGCACTCCAGCCTGGGTAACAAGAGCGAAACTCCGTCTCAAAAAAAATAATAATAATATTTGCTTTATATATCTGGATGTGTTCATATTGAGTGTATATGCATTTATAATTTTTATATCCTCTTGCTGGATTTATCCCTTTATCTTTAATATGATGACCTTGTCTCTTTTTCACTGTTTTTGACTTAAATATGTTTTTATCAGATATAGAAATACATATGCTCAATTTTGTTTTTTGTTTGCACAAAATATGTTTTTCAATCCCTTTACTTTCATTCTATATGTCTTTACAGGTGAAGTGGGTTTCTTAGAGACAGTAGATAGTTGGGTAATGTGCTCTTTGTTTTGGATTTTGGTTTTTGTTTTCAAACACATTCAAGTGTTCTATGATTCTCCTGCCTCAGCCTCCCAAATAGCTGAAACTACAGGCATCGGCCACCGAGACCAGATAATTTTTATTAGCAGAGATGGGGTTTCACCATGTTGGCCAGACTAGTCTTGAACTCTTGACCTCATCATCTGCCCATCTTGGCATCCCAAAGT